ACGACGAGATTCAAGAGAGTGTGGAGTTGGGTCCACCACGCGCTCACACAATCACGGAGCGGAGTGGCCCTACTTTTCCCTGGCATCTTGCTTGTTTGCACTGTGGGTCTGGTCCCTTGGGCTCGGGTTGGCTCTGGTGGGACTGGCACATTGAGACGAGCAGAAATACAACGTTCAACAGACGAAATCCATGATGCAAATAACCCTGCTATCACTGCCAGGTGAGCAGACACGAACCGAAAGGCTACGGACTGATGGAAAGCAGGAGCAAGGAACTCGAGCGAGAAACCACCAGGCGTGAAACCCACAGCACTTCGACATTCATCCCACAACTCAGGAGGTATGGCAAATGATGACTCCTGGTTAGTGGGTGAGGCTCCACCGTGCGACACATCCTGACTAGAGGCTCCCTGGGAATCCAAGGCTGGCGGCTCAGACGGAGACGCGGGATGGCCAATCCTGTCCGAAGGTCCTTCGGGCATGCGAGCGAGGTCGGGGCCCGCCTCATGCGAAACAACACAAGGACCACCGCGCCCTACGCCCTCAGCCACAGTGAGATCCCCAGGAGAAACCGACGAATTCGAAAAAACTTGGCACCCCGACAGATCCGAGCAAAATTTGAGCTCCTGAGCCCAGGGGTCTTCCTCGTCGGGCCACACATCAAAATCGATTTCTAAACTAACAGTACCAGGCACCCTATCCCCCGCAGACGGAGAGGCACATTCCCCTTCCTCATCCTCGGCGGGGGTCGCACACTGAGATTGCTCACAACAATCACTGAACAGGCTATTGAATTTATCGGCTCGGGAGGCTACGGCTGGCTGATTACATGTTGCTGCAATGTCGGCCGAGATAATTTCTGCAGACAAACGTTCAACTATGCCTGAGCGCGAGAGGGCCGCTGGGCTCAGATTGAAGTCGCCCACGACCTCCCAGGGCACCTGCAGCGCCCACACCAACCCCAGCAGGCGGTTGAACCTCCCGAGGTTCGCGCCGTGCAACCCCATGTTGCTGTGCCCGTAGAGGACCACTATCAGCAGCGAGAAGTCGATGAAATGGACTACCTGCGCCATGCAGCCGTCGTAAGAGTTCCCATGACCAGGAGCAGCCAGCTTCCCCCATGCTGCATGATCTGCTCCGAGCCTGTGTGTTCGCAAACGTCCTTGTGAGAGGGGCCACTCGTCTTCCCCTTTGGCGTGCTCAGCCTGCTGGTCTGCCACTCGCCGCGAGGTGGGATGGGCATCGTTGGCGAGAAGCCGATGCCCTGCACCTCTAGCTTTACTGTCGTAGGACCGCTGCACTGACTCGGAATGGACGTGAGTCTCGGCGATCGCGAAAAAGTCGTATGTCTTGGTCTGGGATATGATCCACGCCCAAGGCTTATCCCCAGTGCAAGTGATATTGGAATAAAAGAGTCGCGTCGTAGCACTCTCCCCTGTAGGTACCGCCGCAGCAGTACTCGACGAGGCAACACAGGTGGGGTCCGCCCCTTGCATATCCACCCGCGCTGCCGTAGCTAGTCAAGCCGTGACGACAGGATCCTTGCCCTTGCCCTTGGCGACTGCCGCCTGCGCCGCCGCCTCCAGCTTCGCCGCTGACAGTCGCTGCGCCTCGGCCACGATCTTGGCCTCCTCCTCGGCGTTCGCAGCCTCCTGCGCCGCCTTGGCTGCCTGGGTCGCCGTGGGGTCGGCGCCCTCGGTGCCTGCGGCCGCCGTCGGAGGTTTGGCCTCACCGCCGCTGCCGCCTTCGGCTGCTGTGCCGTCGGCTCCTCGTCGCTTCTTGGCCGTGCGCTCCTCCACGTCACTGCGCAGCTGCTGCAACTGGTCTAACCACTTGCGTACCTCCGCCTCCTTTGTCTCCATGGCTCCCGCGGCCTGCTCGAGATCGGTCTTGATCGTACGAAGAGCTTCCTTCTCAGCAGGCTCGCAATCGAGGGACTCGATGTTCGCGAAGAACTCCTTGTCCCAGGTGCACTGAAATATCGGCTTCGGAGCCGTGCTGTCCTGGGTCCCTTCGGAGGTCTCACCCTGGCCCTTCACGCCCTCGGCGTAGGCTAAGGCCTGGGTGGCGGCGCGCCGCGCAGCCTGCGCGCGCGCAACCTCCTGGGCTGCCATGCCTTCCTTCTTCTCTGCCAGCGCCAACTGTGTCCGCAACCTGACCACATTCGCCGCCAGCTGCCCATGGCGGTGGTCGGCATCGTGGAAAGCACTGCCGGCACGCCGCAGGGCCTCCACGGGGGTGACTGCACCCTCGTCTCCTGCAGCATCCTTCTCCAACTGTTGAATCTGTTTCTGAAGACTGTCCTTCAGTTGGGCATCATCGCTGGCTTGCAACGCGAGCTGGAGGTGCTCGGTCACTGCTGCCTTGCCACGCGTGCTGCCCTTGCTACTTGCCGAAGGAGGGGAAGAAGAGGTTGAACGAAGAATACCCTTGGGCTGCAGCAGGCTGCCCGAGTCATCATTCATGAAACTCACTTTCCTCTTACCCCTGTCGCGCGAAGTACTCCTCTTCGGCAGAAATGGAGCCACCTTCTCACCGCAGTGCGTACACTTGTTGTCATTCCGCCGCAGCACGTCATTGTACTCGCAACGCTGGCAACCTGCACACCGCGACCAGGTCCTGGCCGTCGCCATTGCTGAAATCCTCTGTTTTTGTCAGCACTCGAACAATCCTGCTGGGGCGTTCGTGCGCTGTCCCTCAAGTGCCGCGTGAAGGCACAGAGGCACCTGAGCTCTCTGCCAAAATGGTCTGAACCCAGATGTTACTTGAGGGAGGAGGAGGAGGAGGAGGAGGAGGAGGAGGAGGAGGGAGGAGGACGAGGAGGAGGAGGAGGAGGAGGAGGAGAAGAAGAAGAAGAAGGATGAGGAGGAGGCGGCGGAGGAGGAGGAGGTGGCCTCAGGCGGCGACCAAACCGCGCCACAGGTCATTGGTTATCTTTGTTCTTTGGTGACCGTTTCTAGGGCCTGGACCGTCCAAGACGGCCTAGGGTCAGGAGCAGGCCCCGGTGGAGGGGCGGAGAGCTCCAGGGGCCAGCGACTCGCAAAAGATCGAGTCGGTGGGGCCCAGAGAGGACGGAGGAGATATTGAGCGGGCGAATCATTTCACAGCTCGTCGCTGTCCTTCAGAGAACTCCCTCCCCCCAATCCCCCCTCTTTCCCACCATCCATCTCCCTCCATCCGCCCCCCCCCCGTCTCTCCCTATGTACGAAACTCTCCCTTCTACCGCTTGCGCAGAACACGATTTAGTCTTGTTGGGCGAGCTCCAGGTCCGCTATGACACGTGTCGGCGGATCGAGCAAAAAGGTGCACAATGGGAACGGATGGGTGGCAGGGGTAGAATGCCAGATATGGCGCGAGCGCACCTCCACTCCCGAGAATGCGGCCTGCAAGAGTCTGCAGCAAGATGTCCCAAGGCCTTGCAGCGACAGCGACTTATCATTTATCCTCGGGCATCGAAGCACGCGGCCGCTGAGTTGTTGGTCGGAGAAGATTGGACGTGTAGGGTGTCCAGCTTGCGGGTTGCAGCGCGCCCAGGCCGAGCCAATGGTTGCGGCGTTTCGTCTCGCGTTGTGCCCTGCCCCAGCCCAGCATGAGGCACGTGTCGGCATATACGCGCGCGCGTTCGGTGCGCATGCTGGCGAGATCATCTTGATGGCAGGGAGCTGTTCAACCATAAGCTTTAAACAAATGTGTATGTATACGTATTATATATATACACACTTCATAACATGTTTATGTATTTCCCGACAGTGTATGCACTTTGGGATTATTACTTCTGCCCCTGAGGAATTGGATGGGTCTGGCGAGGTGTCGCCACTCTCCCGCCTCGTTGCCGCTTCGTTGCCGCCTCGTGCGTCAGGTGGATCGGCGAGGTTTCGCCACATTGACGCCTCGTTGCAGCCTCGTTCGCTGGGTGGGTCCAGCGAGGTTTCGCCACGTTACTTCCAGTTGCCACCTCGTTGCTGCCTCGTGCGCTAAGTGGGTCTGGCGAGGTTTTGCAACGTTACCGCCTGATTGCCGCTCCGTGCGCTGCGCGGGACTGGCGAGGTTTCGCCACTTTACCGCCTCGTTGCCGCATCGTGCGCTGAGTGGGTCCAGCGAGGTTCTACCACATTACAACCCGTCGGCACCTCGTTGCCGCTTCGTGCGCTGGGTGGGTCCAGCGAGGTTTCGCCATGTTACCGGCCGTTGCTGCCTCGTTGCCGCCTCGTGCGCTGGGTGGGTCCGGCGAGGTTTCGCCACGTTGGTGCCTCGTTGCCGCCTCGTGCGCTAGATGGTAGTTGCGATGTGTCGCCGCGTTGTTGCCCAGTGCCGCCTCTCGCTAGAACCAGGTTTACTGCACCACATAGCTTAAACCACATGATTTGCATCACATAGCCTAGACATCCACAGTGCAACGATTTACTTTGTATGGTCTCCACGCTAGCTAGCACCTATCATACACATGTATACTCATGAAAATGATGTACACACATGTGTCAAAGGAGGAAGCGGAGAAGAAGCCAGAGCCAGGGGAAGCAGAGGAAGATCAGGAGAAGGAGGGATCAGGAGGAGAAAGGAAAGGAGAAGGAGGAGGAGGAGGTGGAAGAGGAGGAGTTGCAACTGTGAAATGTGGAGGAGGAGAGAGCTGTAGGTGAGGAGGAGGAGGAGGAAGAGGAGAAGAAACGGGAGGAGTACGAAAAGGAGGAGGAGGAGGAGAGAGCTACAGGCGAGAAGGAGGGGCAGGAGGAAGAGGAGGGGGACCGAGGGGCGAAAGGGGAGGAGGAAGAGGAGGAGGAGAGGAGGAGAGAAGCATCCGAGGGAGGAGCATGAGGAGAAGGAGGAGGAGGAGGAGGACGAGGAGGAGGACGACGACGACGATGACGACAACGACGACAATGAGAACAATGAGAATGGAGGAGGAGCTGGAGGATGAAGGGCGGAGGAGGAGGCGGACGGAGGTGGAGGCTGAGGACCTCGAGGTAGTGATTTTCGAGCGCCCCGCGGTCGATCGCGAGCAGGCAGTGCTGCGCACACCTCTGCCGCCCTACGTGCTGTCCCGCGACGGGGACGACCAGTACAACACTGTATTCGCCAAGGCTCCCTGGGGATTCGGGGGGGAATTGACTTGAGCCGTGAGCGAAGACCATACCCCCCGACGCCGTGAGCAAGAGTTTGCTGTGGCTCATGGCAGTTTCCGGCCTGCGGGTGGGCCCCTGCTGGGTCATGGGTTCCGTCGGGAGGGGCCGAGACATCCAGGCGCCCACGCGGCGGAAAGTCGAGGAGGGCCAGTGGAGACAGCCTGCTCAAGATCTGTCGAATCCGTTTCTGTCGACACGGGCCAATCCGTGGCGATGAGAAGTTTCCAGGAGATCCCGAAAAAACACAAAGAAAAAACGAAAAACGCAAGGGAGGGCCGCCGTTGTCTCGACTGGCCCTGCACCGAGAAACAACACGACGTCGGGGATCCAGGGGGATCGTGGCATGAGCCCAGGGTCCTGAGGGAACTGGGTCCTATGGACACCCCCGCGGCTCCCTGGGGCCCTGGGGCCCGGGCCCAGGGTACCGGTCCCAGAGTCTCCGGAGAGGCCGGAGACAGCGAATACCCAAAATCTGGCGCCCTTGTTCCCACAGGGCCATGGTGGCTCACGGCGAGGAGGGTGAGAAGACACGGAGGAGGCTCCGACTTCTCCTTCTCCTCCTCTTCCTCCACCTCCTCCTCCTCCTCCTCCTCCTCCTCCTCCTCCTCCTCCTCCTCCTCCTCCTCCTCCTCCTCTTCGTCCTCCATCTCCTCCGTCTCCTCCTCCTCCTCCTCCGCCTCCTCCCCCTCCGGCTCCTCCTCCTCCTCCTTCTCCTACTCATCATCCGCCATCCTCTCCTACTCATCCTCCTCACTCCTCCTCCTTCCTTCTCCATCCTTTTCGTCGTAATCCATCTCGTTCTCCTCTTTCTCCTCCTGGTCCATTTTTTCCTCTCCTCCTCCTCCTCGTCCTCTTCCTCCTCCTCCTCCTCCTCCTCCTCCTCCTCCTCCTCCTCCTCGTCCTCCTCCTCCTCTGGGCCTTCGGGAAAGGGCGTCGTCGCCACAGCTGAGCGCGGCCCAGAGAACAGATCGGGATGGTGCCGTGGAGGAAGTTGAGGATTGCTTCTGAGCGAGTTCCGATCGATGAAGCAAGAGGAGGGGGAGGGCGAGGCCTCCTTGACCTGGTCCCTTCATTGCGACCTCCGTGAGCTGCAGCAGAGGCCACGCTACGCGAGCCCAGCCGGTCCTGGCCTTCGTCGGGGGTGGGGGCACGAAGAGGGACGTCGGGCTGTTATCGGCGACGCTGTACAGGTCGCATGAACCCTCCTCCCTGCTCCCCCTGCTTCACCTCCTCGACTGTAGCATCGTTCTTTGCGGGAGGGGTTCCGCATCGGTCCGCACTCGCCGCCTTGGCCTCGTTGGCCAGGAGGGCGGGCGCAACCACCGGTACGTGGACCAGGATGGGCAACGGAGGAGGAGGAGGAGGAGAAGGAGGAGGAGGAGGAGGGCCAGTGTAAACCCAAGACGCATCAACGATGTTGCGATAAGCCCTCCCTCCAAGTTCCTTCCTCATATGTACCTACAAGAATGCATTTTCATTGCGGGCAGTGTCCCATTGGAAGACAACAGTCTGAAAATCTGCAATCGTACCAAAATTAGCCTGGCGAAGGACCCAACCATAAGCAGTTGTGAGTACCGCAATTGTGAATATCATCTTCGCTCGCGCTCCCTATGGGGCCACGAGCCGTGCGAGGGGGCGTGCCGAAATGCATGGCGGGGTCCATAATACGAACAAAGACGGCCGGTCTGAGTGCGAGAGACTGAGAACGGGTGAGCCTGAGCGCGAACGAGTTTGATTGTGAATGAGTCTGCGTGCGAATCTGTCTACGTGCATGAATGTCGACGCCCATGTCGGCACGCTCCTCAAGAGGATCGCGCAGTTTCCTTCCCTTTCTATTTCTGCCTCTTTGTCCGTGCACGCCGATGTCCATGGCTGCGGGCGCTGCGCCGCACGGAGTCCCCGCGACGCACGCTGTCCCGGCGACGCGCGCGGGTCGTCCGTTGCGCGGAGCAGAGAGAGCTAATTGGTTGGCTGATAGCGGGCAAGGCTGTGGCCGCTCGGCAGAGCGACGACGGGGGCGAGCGAGGTTCTGGGCAGAGCGCAGCGCCGAATTCCCGCGACGCGCGTTGGTCGCCCGGTCCCAGCGACGCGCGCGGGTCGCCCGCGGCGAGAGGCCAAACAGTCAGACCGTCGAGAGACGGCGAGGCTCGGGCGGGCCGCTCCTCAGGTCAAGCCTCGCGGATAAACTCGGTGAAGCCCAGCCCCTTGGCGGGGCCGCCATGCGAGCTGCGCCACTGGGACCACCACGAAACGTGCGAGGGGTGTGCCAAATTGGGGCGGGGCCGCCATGCGAGCTGCGCCACTGGGACCATAGGTGGAGCTCCCTAGGGGGCCACGAAACGTGTGAGGGGTGTGCCAAATTGGGGCGGGGCCGCCATGCGAGCTGCGCCACTGGGACCATAGGTGGAGCTCCCTATGGGGCCACGAAGCGTGTGAGGGGTGTGCCAGAATGGGGCGAGGCCGCCATGCGAGCTGCGCCACTGGGACTTTCGGTGGAGCTCCCTATGGGGCCACGAAACGTGTGAGGGGTGTGCCAGAATGGGTCGAGGCCGCCATGCGAGTTCCGCCACTGGGTCTTTCGGTGGAGCTCCCGATGGGGCCACGAAGCGTGTGAGGAGTGTGCCGACATGGGGCGATGCCGCCATGCGAGTTCCGCCACTGGAACATGAGGTGGAGCTCCTCAAGGGACCACGAAACTTGTGAAGGGTGTGCCACAATGGGGCGAGGACACCATGCGAATTCCGCCATTGGGACCTTAGGTGGAGCTCCCTATGGGGCCACGAAACGTGTGAGGTGTGTGTGTGCCACAATGGAGCGAGGCCACCATGCGAGTTCCGCCGCCGGGGCCTTAGGTGGAGCTCCCTATGGGACCACGAAACGTGCGAGGGGTCTGCCAGAATGGGGCGGGGCCGCCATGCGAGCTGCGCCACTGGGACCATCCACGAAACGTGTGAAGGGTTTGCCAGAATGGGGCGGGGCCGCCATGCGAGATGCGCCACTGGGACCACAGGTGGAGCCCTTTATGGGGCCACGAAGCGTGTGAGGGGTGTGCCAACATGGGTGGTGGGGGCCGATGCTGACGATGATGATGTGGATGAGGGTGATGTTGCTGATGGTGATGCTGATGCAGGATGGGTGATGGTGACGATGATGCTGATGATGGGGAGAGGGAGGGAGGTGCAGCGGGAGGAAAAGGAAGGAAGGAGGACGCGGGCGTTGTCTCTTCAAAACGAGGACCCAACACCACGGGATGGTTGGGAACAACATTCTTGGGATTTCAACGCCGCGAATCAACGTGTTTGTTGCTTCCTGAAAATCTTAAACCGTGCCAGACCACCATTCCTGGGACTTCAACCATACGAATCTTTGAAACTGCTCCAGACTTGTAAAACGAAAGTGCGCGGCGCTAAAGCGAGAGTCACAGTAAAAAAGGAACCGCCCTCCAGCTTGCAAATCTTCGAGAAATTAGCATGGCGAAAGACCCAACCATAAGCAATTGTTAATACCGCAATTGTGGGCATCATCTTCGGTGGAGCTCCCTATGGGGCCACGAACCGTGTGAGGGGTGCGCCAAAATGGGGCGGGGGCGCCATGCGAGCTGCGCCACTGGGGCCTTCGGTGGAGCTCCCTATGGGGCCGCGAACCGTGTGAGGGGTGCGCCAAAATGGGGCGGGGCCGCCATGCGGACACTGCCACTGGGGCCTTCGGTGGAGCTCCCTATGGGGCCACGAACCGTGTGAGGGGTGCTCCAAAATGGGGCGGGGCCGCCATGCTGACCCTGCCACTGGGGCCTTCGGTGGAGCTCCCTATGGGGCCACGAACCGTGTGAGGGGTGCGCCAAAATGCGGGGCCGCCATGCGGACCCTGCCAGTGGAGCCTTCGGTGGAGCTCCTTATGGGGCCACGAACCGTGTGAGGGGTGCGCCAAAATGCGGGGCCGCCATGCGGACCCTGTCACTGGGGCCTTCGGTGGAGCTCCCTCTGGGGCCACGAACCGTGTGAGGGGCGGGCCAAAATGCGGGGCCGCCATGCGGACCCTGCCACTGGGGCCGCCCTCCAGCTTGCAAATTTTCGAGAAAAAATTTAGCCTGGCGAAGGACCCAACCATATGCAGTTGCGAATACCGCAAATATGAATACCGTTTTCGGTGGCGCCACCTCTGGGTAGGGGAGACGCATGCAAACACCCCCACTGGGGCCTTCGGTGGA